TTGGTGATATTCTTTTGGTTTTCCGGCCCTTTGTACTGTGAATGACATATGTACGTACACACAGTGCCAGCTGCACAGCGCTGCCCTTCCTAAAATGTTTTGAAGGTGACGCAAACCATGTATTTACATTCATTCTGCTAGCTTCGTGGACCCGCCCAGACTTAATATAACCATCTTCTTGGTGTTTGGCAAGGTGATCTAATTACCTCCATGAAAAATGGAGGTATTGTTTTTGGTGTGTCTGTCTGTATGTATGTCTGTCTGTCTGTCTGTGTGTCTGTGTGTGTTTCCGCAACTTTGTGGTCAGCATAACTTCAAAATGCCTTTGGTATGTTGGTAAGTCTTAGGAAAGACAAAGGTCATGGTCAAATATGGGCCTCCTGGTGGATGACCTTGGTACTGCAGCAGAACTTCCGGTTTTTGTATCTTTTGTCCTGAACATGCTATGGTCTTGATGTTTTGGTGACAGATAGCTTATCCTGTCAGGAATAAGTGGTGTGAGTTTGGTCTCCCTAGCAGCTTGTTCTGGAACTGCAGGGCACTTTCTGGCGAAATGTTTAAAAGCCAATAAGTCCAGATAGGAACAACGTATTTTCATAATTTTTTGTGTGTAGGTAGCTGAGAGAGAGATGTACATGATTAAATGCAAACAAATTATGCAAATGAGGACTTTATTTGCATAATTAATGAGGAAATTCTATAATTACAGTGTTTTACATTATACTACTTTCATACATGTAATGTATGTAATCTATGGCAGGCAGAACATCAACAGATACTAATTATGCAAATGATGACCTAATTTGCATAATTTATGTAAAAATTCTATGATTTCTTAATGGTGCATGATGGGAATGTCATACTTGGGACATCTGTAACTTAATCAAAAGTTAACATACATCGTGGTGCATATATCATGTTAATGCAGAGGTAATTTGCATAATTAAAGAAGAAATTTGCATTTACATATTAAGCCCATATTTCATGGAGGTATGAAGTCTCGGAATTCTTGTTTTCAGTGTTTGTCTTTAGAGGGAATTCATTTAAGTGTAAAGGCGGGGTTTGAGCTCTGCTAAATCAAGGAGGTTATCCCTTTGGCCAAGGAGGTTTAACTTCATTGTTTTGGCTAAATCCCGACCACGAAAGCAAGACGTCACCTAATGACATTTGTCAACCGCTTAGGATCGATTGGCATGGAAGTGCCAATTCCTTCCGACTGCTTTCGTGTCTTACTCTCAGCTTGCAGTGTTCGTTTCTTATATCTAGAAAATAAGAAAACAGGATATCGAAAAAAGGGGGGAATTTCCACTGTTCACAGCGTTATTCTGTATTCATTTTTTTTCAGTACAAACGGACACATAAGTGTAAAACCTTTGTCTAGACGGACACAATTAGAATTGTTTACCATGGACCTTCCTGTCATAAAATAATCTGTTAAAACATCTCTTTTGTATCCTTTATTCACCGTATTTAAGGAGGTTAAATATAACCTCCTTGCCGTATTTCACACGCACATGGTGACGCGGTTTCTGATATTGAAAACGCGAAGAACACGATGCAGCTACAGGGGGGAAATGATACTATCCCATGATCCTTTGCAATACACATTCCACAACACGTGTCCCAGATGGCTGACTGTCAGCACCAGGCATATAGTCTTGTCATGTTTCCTTTAAAAGTGCCCATGGGAAATGGAAGAAAATTGCATTTGTTGATGATTATTACATAAATCATATCAAATATAATATTTTCTTCTGTTTCCCATGGGTGCTTTTTGGTGCATTTGGGGTTTTCTGATGCACAAGATGTATAATATCACCAATCAACAGAGTTTGTAGAAAAGCACTTTAGTTTGGTGAAGTTTGAGCACCATTTTTGAAGCAAATGTTTGCATAAATGTTATGACACGATGTAAGAAGTTGTACATAAGTTACAAAAGTCAGATAGCCTCATACACTACTTGAGTCCTTTGATAATTCAAAGAACCAAAAATTACTGGTCAAATTGTTGCCATTGCTGCACTTTTAAAGGAAACGTCATGACAAGACTATATGCCTGGTGCTGACAGTCAGCCATCTGGGACACGTGTTGTGGAATGTGTATTGCAAAGGATCATGGGATAGTATCATCCCCCCCTCCTGATGCAGCTAATTACAGGCCTGATGGGTATCGCAAAAGATCAAAGAACAATTTCCCAGAAAAATACAACATTTTTCCATTCCTACATAATGGTCTAGCATAACATAAAAAAGCACACTCTGCTGAAGTAAAACATTAAGTCTACATGTGAACTGCCCACACAAGCATGTGGATGACATTTTTACATGCTTTACCTGTCCGATTTCGGCGGTTCCGCAACAACAAAAATTTTGCAACATTTCACCAATGTGTGATATGGGCCCCCCCATTCCATTGCACTAGCTACCAAAAAAAACTGCCTCAGGGCTGTACTACTCACCTCCATGGAGCTGGCTCTATAGAGGTCAATTTCTTTTTTCTTGAAGGTAACGTGAACAACCTAAATGCATTCATAGTGCATGGAGCCAGCTCCATGGAGCTAGCTCCATAGAGATCAATTTTTTTAAGGTGACGTGAACCATGTATATGTTTTAATAGTGCATGGAGCCAGCTCTATAGAGGCCAACTTTTCTTCGAGTTGACGTGAACCGTGTATATGCATTCATAGTGCACAGAGCTAGCTCCATGGAGCTGGAAAAAAATCTGCCGCATGGCTGTACTACTCACCTCCATGGAGCTGGCTCTATAGAGGCCATGCCATGTTTTCTTAAAGGTGACGTGAACCATGTATATGCATTCATAGCGCGTAGTGCTATCTCCATAGAGGCGATTAGTACAGCCCATATTGTTTTTTTACTTGAAGGTGACGTGAACCATGTAACGTTATATGT